GGTGTTTTGCCGAGTAAAACGGGGATTTGCGGGGGTCCTTCCCAGTTTCCAGCAGAGCTTAAGGCGGTCTCTTCCGTTTCCGTCAGTTTCTCACTGCTCAGCTCCCTGTTTTCTGCTCTTGTTAAGCTAAGCGTTGTGTGCTGAGCTATAGCTATATGCTTTCTCTCCAAGATTAAAATGCGGTATGTCGTGTTACAAAATTTGCAGTATCTGTGGGTTGGCACTGGAATAAAGGTTGCTTTTTTCATTTAGTTGCGATATATACGTGTTTTTAATGAAAAATTCCTCATTTGTGATCTATTTAAACTCCGATTAAGGTTGTTTTAGGAAGTGTTTTAATCATCTTCATACATGGTATGAAATCAATGTAAGATAACCTGCCTGAGATTACATTGGTTATTGTGCGGTAAGAGTTCCAGTGCAGGCTGCGAAGTAGCAAACCATTATTTTTCCTATGAGTGAGTCCCTTTACTGTATTACTTAAAGGTAACCTTACCACCTCTCATCGAGGGCTGCACAGCCTGGGATGACTCTGCAGCCTGCACGGGAAGTCATTGCGGATCAGCTGACTAGCCACAGGAAGTAGATCACTGCTGTTTTCTTTGTCTGGGAGTAACAGGCTATTGAATACCAGCCCCTTTGTAACGACACTCTGTAAGTGCTGTTACGTCCTCTTTCACCGTGGGCTTATCAGCATCAAATTCGGTGTTTCCACAATTGGTGGCAGCAGCAATTCGTAGACACGGACTTGCTTATAAATTAGAGGGAAGCAATCGAAAATTTTACAGTTGCGTCCTACTGAAACTGATACTGGAAGACAAACTCTTGAATTTCTCTTTCTCTTCCATCAGATTAGGTCAGTATCTGCCCCGATTGGTGATAACCCATGGCAATTCCTATGAAATGAATCCAAGATGACCCTGAGCATTTTCATCCTTAAACGATGAAAAACAGATTAGTCTTGTATATGAGTCAAGCTGAGATTTATAGGTTTAACATGTAATATCAACATTACCATTAGGTGTCACTTGAGGCCTGCCAATCTCGGCATTAGTCGTTTGAGTGACTTTTATCTACTCTGTATCCAAAAAAGAGAGGAGACAAGTTTCCAAGCCTTTGTTTAAGTTTACAGTGAGACAGGATTATTCACAGAAGTGGCCAGGATGTTTTTGTGGGACAGGGACCAAAGTTTGCATTAGTAATCTGCTAAGAAATAGCCACCTTTGTCAGAGAATGAGCAGTCACTTTTAGAAATCATATTTGACCAGAATTGAAGTAATTTAAACTTTCACTATTTGAAGAGCGTATTGTATTGTCCATAAAACACACTGTAAATCGGTAACTTCTGTTACTTCAGCCAGCAGTGTCAGTGGGAAATGTTGGTCAACTGGCAGCAGATCTAGTGATTTCCACGTTCAACATGACTAAAGTGGGTTACTTCTACACTGATTGCCTGGTGCCAATGGTTGGAAATAATCCATATGCAACAGCAGAAGAAAACTCAATGGAGCTGAGTATAAATGCTGAAGGTGGGTATTGAATGCTGAAGATACTTGCATGCTGCATAAGGTGCAAGAATGTTACATTTACTTTTTTTGTGGTTTTTACATTTTGCTTAAGTGAACAATGTTTAAACTAAGGTCAGTAATAACAACTTCAGTAACTTACAGATAAGAATGTATTTACACTTCACAGAGGAAACTATTACTGTTATTATTTCGGATAACCAGTTTGACATATGGAACCAATAAGAAATGTTGAATTTCAACCATATGACAGTGCAGCCAAAACTCTCTGTCGTTTTAATCCAAAGCAGCATGAAGTGTGCATGTACTTACAGTAAACTAATGGAATGGAAGCTGATATTTATCCTCTCTTCTTCCTTCCCACCTCTGTTTGCCTTTTTCCTTATGTGGTGTTTCTCCCTCTTCCCCCTTCAAATTCTTAGTTTCTTTCCATATATTGATCATTGCATGTCATCTTTTTTTTCCCCTCTTAACTCATGGAAATCTCAGAATAATCTGTTAATCTTTGCAAAGCTGCATAAAGAGATTATCTGAATCATTACAGGAGGCAGATCTTCATTTTTTTTTTTTTTTCATTCGATCCTTTGAATTTATGACAAGTGAAATTAAGTCCAATGAAGACAGTGCACAAAAATACTTATTTTTAACACTGTGGATATTGTCAGGCTTTCCTGTATGACTTGATAGCTGAAAGGTTTACTATCCTGAGGTTTGTAAATTGGATAAATCTTGATACATCTAAACACAGATCTCTTTCTTGCTTTCTTCTAACAAAACTTAATTATTTCTTCTTGTAGTGTATTCATTACCTTCAAAGAAACTTGTAGTTCTGCAGATCAGATCACCTTTTATAAAGGTATGTATGTTCACTGATTGTTCTTACTTCACTATTCAGTTTGAATAGTTCTGCTGGGAAATAGATTAAGTGGCCTAGGTAACTTTTAAGACTAAATAAGCAAAACTAGAAGAACTATGCCACACTGTAAAACATTTTGTTTCAGAAAAAAAAAAAAAAGAGACTGAAAAAGAGCAAAATATTTTTCTACTTTGTGCTATAACACATTCTGCTGTTGATACAATTTTAGCTAACAAAAACTGACTTCTGCATTCATTGAGGATTGAGGTTTTGTTTTTCAAAGCCTCAGAACAACCCACCTATGTTGGTAGATTTTAGTGTAAATACGTCCTTGGTGATTAACAGCCTTGAAAATGCAAAATGCTTTGGGTTTTGTCCATTTCTTTTTTTTCTTTACACTTACTGTCTTTGTGTGTTTGTCTTTTATTGTAATAGCTTAATTTTTTATGTCATTCCAATTTAATTATTTCATAGTGTTCTATATTCATTTAAACTGCATTCATTATGTAAAAAAAAGAAGAATGTAGAATTACTCATTAACTGGACAGTGGCTGTAATTTAAAGTAAGCAGAATACCACACCAGAAAAAAATTTGTGCTGCAGTTTTTAGCAGTTCAAAGTGTGGAAAAATACTGTGTGATCCTACCGTCCCATCTTACTCTAAAGCTTTTTCCATTGGTATTAATGGCACAAAAAACAGGTGGCACTGCTGTTGTTAACATGGTCTTAATGATAATTTTTATCATTATACGTGTAGTTTTGATTAAGTAAACAACCAGCGCAGTCCTCTGCTTTTTAAAAATATATCTGAAGCTGAAGACTAAACGGATATGAAGAAAAGTGTACATCACTGGTAAACATTCTATGTAACACACAGTATTGTTGGCTTTTGGCTTTTTTTTGAGGACACAATATATTTTTCACTTTTTTTTCTCTGTCTTTGCATAAAGAACAAGTACAGGCCATTCTGTCAAACACTGCTTTCTTGGGTGAAAAGCAGCAAATGTGCCAGAGTCGTTCTTCTGTCTAGCAGCCATGCATACCAGCGCGATGATGAGCAACTTCTTGGGTATGTTTGTGTCATTAAAAGACCTAATTAATGGTTCTGTTCTTTTTGATGAACTGACATATTTCCCTCTACTGAGTACTTTTGGTAGGGTTCTTTTGCTTTGCTGTGTGCATGCGTCATCAAATGTTTTAATAGTATATTAAGTATTATGTTATATGGGATTAGTCTCTGAATGCTGTTAGTTACTACTGTCGAAAGTACTGAGCAAATAATAAGCTGCAAGTAAATTGCACTTGGCCTGCACTGTCATGCAACAGCCTCAGTTTTAACTTCTTAATTCCTTGTGGCTGCAAGCAAAGTCAGGGATCAGCTGCTAACGTACAGGTCACAGATTAGATTTTTAACAGTTAGTTACAATATTGCCTAGTTTCTTATCTCTTCTCTGTTATTCTGCATTTTGATGGTTTTCTTTAATATAGTAAGTTGTCATTCTTTTTTTATAGAAAGTTATCAATTCTTACTTGTTGGGAGGCAACTGCAACATTCAGACTCTATGTATTTTTATTAGATATTACCCCTTTAAAAAACAAGCATTACTTGCTGATTGAGGACATCATAATTGGTGATTTAACAAAAACAAACAAACAAAAATCAGTATTTTTGCAAAAGACCAATTGTTATCCTTAGGCTGTATAAATGTGTAGGGCCTTATTGGAGGTTTAGGTCCATGCACGTCTCAGATATAGTTACCAGTGATACTTGCATGCAGTTGCAGAATGGCCAGCTAACATGGAATGAAATGAGAGGGCCTGATGATTACTTGATGCGGTCTGAGTCATAATGCACCACAGAATAACTGTCTGATAGCAGAGTCACTAAAGAGTGAAGGGTAGTGCATTCAGAAAATACTTAGACTTGACTGAAGTCTACAGATATTTCTAGTGTGGGCTTATTAAAAATACCGTATCACAGTGAAGTCCAAGTTTACCTTAACTAACTTAAATTTAATCACCTCCTGTCTGAAGGAAGAAAAAGCACATTTTAGTTGTAAATCATTTTAACAACCATAAGCAGTTCTCCTATTTATGTGCTTATATATCTGGCACTTGCCAGTTATTTGAGCCTCTAAAAAGAGGGTACCTTAGTTCTATTTGTGGCAAAAAGTTGAATAGTTTGTACTGTTTTGAAGCCACAGACTACTTTTTAACTTTGATTTGAGGAGGAAGGGAATGTCAGTGCAATTCCTCATTGCAGGTGTGAGATCCTCAATGCTTGCAGCTTCCTTCTGTCACAAGTAATAACATTGGTAGTGTTTTCTGTTGTCAAACTGAACGTATTCTTGATTTGTTCCTAGGACACCACTACGCTACCTACTTACACCTGATCTTGAGAAAGCAGTTGGAGGCCTTATGCAGGAGCTAAACTGGAAAGAAATGGAAAAAGTAGCTGCTTACCCTGGAATAAATGATACAGAAAAAGTTCTACATATTCCTGGAGGTGGCATCACAAAACTGTTGTTTACTGAGAGGTGAGTTGCGCAAAGATAAGCACAGAAAAATATCAGCAGTCTTGTTTTTAGTACATGGGTAAAATTATCTTTTAAACCACTATGTTATAGGAAAAGAAAAGTCCCTCTTTTCATAGAAAAGGGATTTATAGGAATAGGACTTCTTACAGATCAAGTCCATAATTTAGAAGAAAAAAAATAGGGAATTCTGCATCATGAAGTTAAAATATGATAAAAATGTAGGTGAATGGGCTAAAGGAAAATAATAAAGCCTGTACAGTTAAGATCGTGATTAATCTGGTATCTGATTTTATGTGAACCACAATTTGTACATAGTAAAATTTCTGTACCTGTGATACTTTAACTAAAACTGTCTCTCGTGACAAATAGTTCCATCAACAGTTGTAAAAAAGAAAAAAAAAATCTGAGCACTAAGAATGAGTTAAGATTTCGGGGCCAGCAAACAATTAGGTGTGGGGTTTTTTTTAAAAGGTGTGTGCATCAGAAGTTGTGCCAAAAGCATGTCTGAGTTTCAAATTTTGGGTAGTAATACTTGCTCATTATGGTAAAACTGTGTTAGCTCTGCAAAAGGTGTTTGTTTTGTAAGCGTCAAGTAGAAAATTCACTTTTATTTTTTTAGCTATTGTTTTTGACACCTATCCAAACTGTTGCATCCAACAGCAGGAGAGTTACTAATATCATGCTCACCTTTGTATTGACTTCAGTATCGAAACAATATACAAATGCAAAAGAAAAGACCTCCCAGCACTTTAGAAAAAAAATTTAAAATATAATAACCATCTTAATATCTAAATGAAAAAATGGCAATATTGTGAGTAAAGTAGTGATATGCAGCCTGCAAAACTGCTATTTGAAATACACAGAAAGATAAGGAGTGATTGTATCAAAGGATCTGTATAAATGCCCCACCAGCACCAACATGCAAACTAAGTATGTAAAAGAGGCTCTGAGTAACTCTTCCATGACCTAGGATTCCTGCCTCACAAAGCAACAAACAAATTTAAGACTAAGAAAAAGAACATGAAGTGTGAAAATGCAGCCAAGCAAGTCTGGAGAGGAAAAAAAAAAAAATCTCTATACATATGCATACATTTTTATTTTTTGTTTGGTTTTGTTTTTTTTTAACAAGCCATATGCAGATTGTTGTTGCTCTTAATACATAAATATAATTGTTCTGGATTTAGAAAAGAAATAGAAATGCCTGCTCATTTTTGTTGCAGCTGTTCAAAAGGAATCCAAATGGCAGTTCTTCTGAAATTCTGCTCAGAAGGGGACAACATCCCTGATGCGTTTGCTCTTGTTAACTATCTTAATGAATGGCTCCAGCTAATTAAAAGCGAAGTAAGTGCTGTTTGATCTAGAGTTCTTGGTTTTGTATTTTATATCCATTATTTTCATTTTTCTTCAATCCGGAACATTAAAAATGTTACTTAGCTGAATTTTAGAAAAGCTAAAAATGTATGGGTTGGGTTCGTTTTGGCCCTTGGTCATCAAGGATATGCCAAATTAAAGATATATTTTGATTAAAACCTCACTGGGAATTTCCCCACCTGAAAAACCAAACCTAAACCCCAGTCCCTTTGTTTGACAGGTGTGGGGGAATATTGCATAAAGGTTTGATCAAGTTCAATCTTTCAGTACTTTTCTCTAAAGCAACCCACGATGATATTGACACTTGAAATGCTGCCCATTATTTTAATATATGTGCCAGAGATAGAATTACATCATTACTATTTAAAACTTAAAGAATTATTCTGTTTTTGTTGCAGAGCAACAATTCCACAGATACTTCTTCACAATGGAAAATACCAAGTTCTTGGCGCTTACTTTTTGGCAGCGGTCTGCCACCTGCACTCTTCTGATCAATTTTGAATCCTCCTGTAAGTCACGTGTACAGTCTCAAACATCCCTTGAGAAGATGATTACATAGTAATTGCCAAGCAACAGCAGCTTAATTTGTTGTGTACATAAATTCTTTATTTAAGAAAAATTCCTCTCACATATGTGGGTAGCTAAAGAAATTAAGGTGACTTTCATAAATTGACCGAAGAAATATGTTTTGTACAGTTGTTTATTGAATAACTTTGGTTGAATTTTTTTCTAATAAAATATTTTTTAAAAAACCTTTTTCTTTAGTTAAGTGTTATTGCTATGGAAAAGCTTATGGTGCACCTTCTTAATGTAGCTGAGAACTTGAGATTGATGTGCAGGCATAGATTTTCTTATGAAGATAAAACCCTACTTTTCCATGTCAACTGTGGATCTTGGCTTTTTTCCCAAACCTTCCTGGTGATGTAAGCAAAGCTCAGAAGCGACCAGTTCTGCCTTCTTTTCCCAGTGCTGTTGTGGTAGCTTCAGCTGGGGAGACAGCAAGCAATAGAGCAGCCTGTTCTGTCTTTTCTGGTCTACTTCCATTGCATAATTCCTGTTCTGCTTCCAAGGGCTGCAGAGATGCTAGAACTAAAGCTTTCTAGGTAGATGAGCCTTTATAGACTGATTTGAAGATGAATACAGTACTCTGAAATATAAAGGAATTAAAACATTGCCCTGATAGCAGGCAGTCTGCTATCTGTGTATTTTATAAGCTGAGACATTAGTTGTGTGATGAGTAATTCATGTGTTTAATTTTTGTAATGGTACTTGTTGCGTTATTAAGCTACCTGTTCAATTTTGATCTTCTGGAAGTGTCTGGTCACATCAGCTTATTTAGAAGTAATTTTAAATCTAGAATTTCTAAGTTATGGCTTATGAATTAATAAACATGACATATATACAGGCTGTACTTTTAAATATTTAGTCTGCTAAATAGATTTAATTTTTTTTTGGTATTGTCATACCAGTAGTACATATGGTGAGGAAAGGAACAGCAGCAGTCCTGAAGAGATCTGTTAAAGGTGTAGGTGTAAGATTCAGTAGTCAGCTTTGCTTGAAAACTTGTCCCTGTTGGTAAAGAAGAGCAGTTCAGTCTAACTACTCAGTGAGTGTGACTGATCACCCAAAGGATGCGATATTGTTCATATTTTGGGGTTTTTGAAATTTTGGGGGGTTGAGAATCATAGTGAATACCTGTCACAGAGTGCTAATATTTGAATGAATGTTCAGTTACTGTTCTTTTTCCACAGAACAATAAGAAACTTAAGTGTTTCCCAGTCCTAAGTCTGCTTTGCAGAAGCAGATAATGCAGGGCCAAACTGAACCTTGGAAAATTGGTATGTGAAGCAAATGCTTTGCATAATTGTATGTCCAAATACCTTTAAATAATTTCTTAAAATGTAGGCAGTCTCAAGTTAAATATTGTATTTGAGTCAATCACAAACCTAGATATGTGTAGAACAATGTGAGCATGAACTAACTGCTGCTGGCATTAGGAGAACTGGAAAGGCTTCATGATTACTTAATTACATCTGCAGTGTTGTTTTTGTTGTTGTTTTTTTTTTTAAGGTTTGAATTGTTTTAACACCAATGCTTCTTAACACCAAATACCATGATAGAAATGTAAGGTAATCCTTTGCTCATATTATAAGCTTTTACAGCAGTAATGCACGAAGATGCCACTTTTCATGAAGATGCCATGTTTTATGGTGTAAAAAATGAGCTATGAATAGCTTTAAAGAGTTCAGGAATGCTGACGTGGCTGTGATTGTGAATCAAAAGAAACTTACTTGACCAAAAAGCAACTTGCGTACAACTGGTATGCAAGCGACAACCCAAAGTTGAACCAAATAACGTGACTAAAAAGATCACAAGATTATTCTGAGCTTAAAGATTTTTTCTGGCTCTTGGTCTTGTCATTGTTTTACAAGAAGCCTGAGTTTCTATAGACAAGTGGAAGGCTAAACCGTTTGCAGCCTGCCTTCATATAGATCCCATCATGGTGATATTTCATGCTTGCAAATACTGTTTATTCAAATTTTGCATTTTTAGAAAAGGACTAGTGACCTAAGTATTTTCTCATGTCATTCTTCATTGTGATGGATTCTCAGATTCTCTATGAATGTAATACATCACCTGTACCTGGACAGTAGCGAGCACAGAGAAATTTGGTAACTGTTACAAGAGTGTAATTTACAGCTGTACATTAGTAATTTACAGCTGTACATTAGGCTGTACATTAGGAAAGCTGAATCTGCCAAGCTAGTTGAAAACTTTTGCCTTGAACCAGTAAATACTTAGAGTATATCTTAATTCTAAGCACATAGTCCTGTGTAAATCACAAGAACTACTTGTTTGTTCTTATGCACTGCTGAATGTGGAACCAAGTATTCATTCTCCTTGATTAGAATCTGACCTTCTGAGAAGTCAGAAGTTGAAGCTGATCATGGTCCTGGTTTGGGCTTTAGACCTGAAAGCCAGCAAGGTGTGTCAGATTTACCAGTAAAATCAGAAGCCGACCTTAGAATGAAGCTGTAGGAGATAATCAGTTCTCCCTTCCATGCACTGACGCCTCTGCATGGTCTAATGACCGTGTTCGGTTTGAGTTGGGGCTTTGCTGACGTACTAGAGAAGAGGTCAAGAAAGAATGGCCTAGCAGTTTAAACATACTCCTCTTAGAACATTAGCTCTGTTACCTTAGAAGGGTGGACGGATGTGGGTAAGAAGAGTGCTTTGAACTGACAGCTGCTACGCAGAACGGTGGTTTTTAAAGGGGGCAGAATATTTAACTTGCGGAGTTCTGTTGGAATCACTGAGCAAACCAGCCTGTTGGAGATGGCTGCTTAAATCGGCTGTACCTTCTTGAAGCTTTCCCGAGATGAAAACTATTCTTCAGGAAGAAGGGGATGGATGCCCACCTCTGCCTTACCTTAGTGCAGGTCCTTCTACTAGATGAGCATGGGGATATTCCTGCATTTGTGCAGGGCTCAGATAACTACAGCTGTAATGACTGTGAAGAGTGAGCCCTGAAGGTATGTCTTCTGCGGCACTGACTTGCAAGGTATTGAACAGTACCTATGAAAGAGCCAGCTCTGCAGCCACGGCTTGCGTATTGCTGATACAGTGAGCACAACTATTTGGAAATAGTTATATGCACTGGAAATGCTTCATGAGGCTTTTCCAACTGTCATAGGATGTTGCTGTGGGGGGAAAAAGAGATTATCAACAGGCACAAGCTTTTTAAGTGTCTTAGGGGGATTTTTGTTGTGTTTTTTTTTAAATAAGGTGATTGTATAAGCTTTATTTAGCTGGCTCTGTTTAAGTACTTAGTTCCTTTGGGATCAAATTAACTGCTTTGTTTAGGGCTATTCACAAGTGTCGTTATTCTAACACCTGTGAACTTCAGCCACGCTGCAGTAAACTTATTAAGTATCTCTGGCACCTGCAACCTGGGGTTCTAGATGATGCTCAGTACTGCAAACAAGTTGTGGAGTATGTGTGTTGCATTGTAAGGAGTTCACTTGTAAAAAGCCTTGGTGTTTAAATAACTTGCGACGTAGAAAGGCAAGCCCAAACAGGGTTTGCTGCAGGTGTTTGACACAGGCACGCAACTTTGTTCAAGATCCAGAATATATTGTGCAGATGCAAAATACACAAGGTACTAAAAAAACTTGAAATACTGAAGTCAACTTCTGTGGTTTTTAAATTATGCATTAAAAAAATCTGAAAGGTAAAACCTTATTTGGGCAACAAGCAGTGTTGCTTTGGGCATCCACAGAAGGTTAATCAGGTAGGAAAAATTTGTATTAATTAGCTGTATTAATCAGGATGCAGTCTGATGTATGCACGGTGGCATTTGGGAAGCTACAGTTCAGAAGATATTTAATTGCGAAACTGTATTAATCAAAATCAAAGTAGCTGTGATAAAATAGATTAAATTTTAATCAAAATTAGTATGGCTTGGAACAAGGAGGAACTGATAAAAAGCTGGAGGAGGAAAAACAAGGATTCTGAAGCTACAGCAAGGGAGTGTTTGACCACCAGATCACAGCAAAGCAGCATTCAGAATTTTTCTGGGGCATGGGAGTCGTTTTTTCTTTCCTTCTTTTACTGATTACAGATAAAGATGCAATTTCTCATGAAAATATTCTCTCAAAAATGACTATGTCTAAGCTATTTATTGTTGTCATTTTGGCTAAACCAGTACTTACGTTACAAGCATCTTCGGAAAATATATCTGCTGGCTAGCAACGGAATGTGCAGTTTAGCTTTTTGTTGTTGTTGTTTTTTAAACAAAGGTCAAAGATGTTTAAAAAACATCTTAAAAATTCAATTCTTTCAACTGTTTGCAAATAAAACAATGCAATTAAGAGTGGAAGCCAACCAAGGTTCTTTAACACTCTGTGAGCGTTTCTAAACGTAGCTATGCTGGGAATCCCTTGTGATCTGCGCGCCTGGAGGCCGGGAGGCAGGGGGCCAGGCCCCTGCGCTAACAACAGGAATTGGGACTGTGTTGGTTTCAGAGAAGATGCTGCCCTACCACCTGCTATTCCTTCCGTAGTTAGACATCTGAAGAAAATCTGTTTGTGCACTGAGAGAATACATCATACGCGAAGGCATCGGGTAAGCTCCTATTTATGACATAATGGCAAGATCCCTAAGAAAAGACAAGGTAGTACTTTAATGTATTTTAACCTAAAAGTGCCATCGTGTAGTTAACTAGCAGCAGCTAGGGTGGCTTTCCTGCCCCCTTTCCCTTAAGATATTCTTTTATGGCTTCTTAACCTTCTCATCTAAATGTTGCAATAAATTTGTAAGAAAGGCAGGCACTGGAAAATACAAAACAATATATATTAAGATTTGTTGGTCTTATTCTCTGCTCTTATTCATTGGACTGTCTGACCTTTATATCCATCATGAGCAGTTTTCCACTACAGGCATCTTCAGCTATTAACAAGAAGCGTGAGGCATGAAATCCAGTATTTGCAAGCAGTTAAAAGGCTTGAAGTTCTTACGATTTTATCACTTGGAGCTCTTCCAAAACTTTCCACACTCTCTAAAGTTATGAAGAACTCCATGCTCAAAATTGCATCAGCCTTCTCGCCTCCCAAGTTTGTCTGATTTCTGGGTTACACTGCCAGGCTGTAGTCTTACCCTCCGGAGTGCACAGATCCTCAGAAGGAGGGTTTGTTAAACTACTGCATCCTCCGGCTAGGAGTTTGCACACGCGGCAATGTTACCTTTGTTTGTT